TTCTGGGATTTTGAACACTTTTTTCTGGGATTTAGAACACTTATTTCTGGGATTTTGAACACTTTTTTCTGGGATTTAGAACACTTATTTTTGGGGGGTTTCGAATACTTATTTCTAGGGTTCGGAACACTTATTTCTGGGGGTACCGAATACTTATTTCTAGGGATGTTGAACACTTATTTCCGGGGTTTAAAGATTTGCTTCTGGTCCTGTGCGGTTGGTTCGCGACTTGAACTGATTGATTCTGAAGCTATCTTTGTCAAGATGGATTTTAGTGAGGGATTTTCGGATGGCGAGCTCGAGATCTCTGCTCATGATTCTGGTGGGGCGCAGGGTCATGATTTTGATCTTACAGCTGCCTTTTCGGACGATGATCCCTCGACGATTCCGGCTGGACCTGGAATTGAAGCAGACATCCTTGCATTGCCGATTGCATCAGACACACAAGCAGTTGCGATAAACCACTCTGACCACTCTGATTCTGGTACTGGTAGAGCATTGGCATTGGATGATCGGAATAGTTATTCATTGAAAGGCAAGGTTGGAAGTGGCCGCCACGGTGGCCCTTTAGAAAGACATATGGTTTGTGCTCATATGAGGTCAGAGAAGCGGGCCAAGCGAGAGCATGAAAGTCGTGAGGAGCTTGTCAATGCCCTTCAGGATGCTACATTCTTGAAAGATGGTCAGGCTTTCACTGTTTCGGCGAAGGCTGGTCAAACAGGGGGAATACGGATCGTGCTGCAGAAACAGCCAGGCAGGGGCAATCGTTTCGTCCGGAAAATTGCCTTCGCAAAGTTTGTGAGGGCTGCTTTCGGAATGAATACTTCCAATGTGGCGTTATCTGCATTGCTGAATGTTGATGCTAGCACAATTCCTCGATTACAGAAGACATGCGCCGGAGTATTTATGGCCTCGCAAACCCGACTGCTTGCTCGAATATTGTTGTACTGCCAAAGGAACAAACCTCTTTCGGTTCATCGGCAATTCAAGTGGGACGAGAGTACCATTAGCACAACTTTGAATCCGGGGGGAGTCTCGCAGCCTGTCCGGTCAGCTTGGTCCATGCTTGTGGCGAGAGCACGACTACTCATTACATGGAGCTCTGGAGCCACACTGTTGATGAGAGTTGTCCTCCCAACGATCCCACTAATTTCGAGTACAGCTCAGCAGATCTATTATGGGATTCGACATCATCCCTCTTATTATGCTGTCAACCACATGCTGGATTTGATTGATGCCACAGCCGAGCTTAGGTGCACCGTCCAGGAAATGGACGGAGCATATGCAAACTTGAGGTTGCACCATCACATGCTATCCCTCAAAGAGTACAATCCTCAAGAACCGGGGGGGGCATACCTAGCAACGGCACGATGTCAGAGTCATGCCACTCACTTGATCTCTGTATCTATGCTTGCCTTGATAGGGGGAAATCTGCTTGCCCGACTTTACGGACTATGTGTTTTCCTTCGGAACCTGGGATACCTCCTTCGGTTGCAACTGGCATTGAAGCAATGGCTCGAGGCCTTGTGGATTCTATGGGTTGCTAAAGCTTTGGTTGCCAAGTCTTGGTTTGCAAAGAAGCTCATGGCTCCAATTGTCGTGCAGGGTCTTTCCTCTGTAATGTCCATAGTCAATATAATCAATATATATATATATAGAACTTAATAATAATATATATAATATATATAACATATATATAACATATATATAATATATATAAATATATATAAATATATATATATATATATATATATTTGTATTTCTGAAGTAAATATATGGAAGATTATATAATAGATTTGGTTCTGGTGTTTAGCAGAACTGTATAATATATTCTGAGAAATTGTATGTATAATAAGAGATAATATTAGGAAAATCTTGGCATAATAATAATAATAATCGGATAATAGGCTATGGGCTATCGGCCGTGGAGTCTTCGGATTTGCAGCTATGGCTGTTGTTGGGGTGTTAGGATTTAGGTTTTAGCTCTTCGGGCTTTGCAGGATTTAGGTTAAAGGTTTGCGGGGACTGGGTGTTTAGGGTTATGGACCTTTGGGATTGTCATTGGTGCTATTGCTACTCGATTTCAATGCACAGGACAAATTGGACATTGTGCCAGGGCCTTCGGATGATCTTGAAGCTGATGTTTTGATGCAAGAAACCACAGATTTCTTGGAGACGTGGCATTATCAGCAGCATGGGGAGGGTGATGATGGCGAAGATGGTTCTGCACATACACGAGCGACATTCGAAAAAAACCTTGCAGCTTTCAAGGAGTCTTGGAATGGCAGCTTCACTGGTAGGCCTATGCATCGATGCGGCTTTGATCATGGTGCAAACAAATCTGACATAGTGGAGAGGATGGCATCGTCTTTTATTGCCTTGCTCCTTACTTGTTTGCCGGCTGTGCCGGCGCCGAACAAGTGGACCAAAATCTTCCCCAGTTCCGATTTTGTTGCCATGGGTGTGTTGATAAATTCCTTCTTGCCGAGTCTGTTCGAGATAGCATTCCAACCAGTTATGTTCAAGACCGATGATATGAATCATCAAGACCAGGATGCTGATCCCCGACTATTGGAAGGGCTTTTCTTCAGTGCTGTCCAAGGAAAGCGATACTTGGCTTCCAGGGATTTTTTAGGAAGTTCAGATGCTCAGTGGTGTTGCCGTTGCTGGTTGATTGTATCAGAACATCTTCGAAGATTGGTGTACTTCTGGCTGCGGAACCTGAAGCAGTCCAACAATCACCGAAAAACATGTTCTATATTCCAGCTGCTAGATGTGCGGAACAGTGCAATTTGGGCAGTTCTCCAGAATGTGGCCCACCAGCTGTTGGATGATCACGGCCGGCACCGATTGTGCATGATGTGGAGACCTTCAGGTTTTTCTTCTTTCAGGGCTTGGTGCGAGGGGAGCCCACAAGAAGTCCGAGAATTTAGGAGGGCATTGCTAGCACTTTCGGGTTGGGTTTTCCGTCGCCATTGGGTATACTGGCAAGAATTTCCTTGGTGCCTTTTGCAGCTTGTAGATGATGATGCAGACCCGACAGTTGTGACTGATGTCAAGAGGCGATGGGATGCTTCCCATGCCTGCTGTGTGAATGCAGGATTTGCTAGAGCACTCAAGAAACAGAACGTGTCAGCGGATGCACTGGCCTCTGATGCTCAGTTTCGTGCTCTATTGAAAGGATTGGCTTTACTCCTGGATCTCAGTATTGCAGACGTCGAGTGCAAGCATGCTTTATCCAGACATTGGAGCGACAGGCCATTTCCTACTTTGACTGCAAAGCACATTAATAAGGAAGCATCTGTAGCTGTACATGAAGCTGTCCAACAAGCCGAATCACTTCTTCATCCTGGCAAGGGTGCTGCAGCAGCTTTGTCTGGGACATACAAGGTTGCCAACAATACGATCAGCATCAAAGCCAAGCACAAACGAGCAAAATCAGGGTACATGTTCTTCAGAGACGACTTGATCAACATCATGAAGCAGACACATGGAGCAGTCAATCCGTGCAGCAAGGACTTTTGGTCTGAATTGAAAAAGTCTTGGGAGAATCTGCCGCAGCAACGAAAAGATTACTACAATGAGTTGGCATTCCAGGCACAGGGTCAGGCAGCCCAGGCCAAAGAGATTGCGAAACGGCGAGCTGGGCATCCGAACTCAACTTCATCGAGCAGCCTGGAGGTTGCGACTCCCGAGGTCCCCGTAGCCCTTTCCCAGGATTCCCAGGGAGTGCTTCTTCCTTTGGCAGTGCCTGGTATGCAGACCACTTCCACTGCTCGTGTTGTTTCTTATAATCCCTGGGTTCTGGCTTCTGCGGTTTTCGAGCCTCCGGACTTACTAGATGTTGCAAGGGACATTCAGAAGCACTTTCAGGAGCGATCTTCCGAGACATGTCATCAGGATCTCAGGGATGAGTGCATCCGACTGAGCCCAATTTCTGAGGAGCAGCTTGAGAAGGTATGGAGGCAGAACCTTGCCAACGGTATCACGTGGGCTGCTGCATTGAAGCGGTACAATGTGGAATCTCAGAGGTTTACTGTTCCGCCTGCTGCAGATGTTTTTCCGGAGAGGGTCAATTATCAGGGATGTTGTGGAGTGTTCTGCAGAGATACTGCTAGTCCTCGTGATCTGCAGTTGTTTGCAAAGCTGCTTGTGGCTTTTGATCGTGTGGTCGCCGGGTGCGGGGCTGTGGCTGTTGCCAGCAAAACCGATATCCTGATCAAGCATTCCTTGATGACATCGGCAGGGGATATAGCATATGAAACCTTCACTTGGATGACGGCGCTTTCAGCTCGCAGTGGCATTCATGCCTCTTCCCAGATCTTCGTGCTCTTGGATGTTCTGGAAACTCAGAAGTTAACTGCTTAGTTCACGGGTTTACATGCTTTCGTCCGAGGCCTTGAAGTTTGAGGTTTGGGATTTTTAAATTTTAGTAGATATAAGATGAGATATTGATATTAAAACTACTTATAGACTCTTATAGACTTATAGAATTATAAGTTATAGTTACAGACTTATTAAAACTTATAGACTATAGACTATAGACTTTATAGCTTATGGACATTCCACAAAAGTAAATGACAGTTTATAAACTATAGGTTCTAGAGTATGAAATACAGAATCAAACTTTTCTGGGGCCCCAGGGTTTTGGATGTAGGATGGTTGGTTTGCTTTCTTATGTTAAGTTATGCTAGGGGCGGTTATATCTCCGATTATCTCTGAACTCTAATACCTTTATATGTATGTTATTTTGCATTAGGAGTTCCGAAAGATAAGCTAAGATGACCAAGGAAGAGCATGCCGTCCCAGGTGGTTGCAGGCTTCGATTGGCTTCCCAGGCTCCAGTGCAGTCTCGTCTCAAATGGTGTTCACAGCTCCTAGAACAAGGTCCGCTGAAGCATTACACAGAGCAAGAATTTGCAAAACACTTGCTTGAACGGTTTCACGAATTCAGTGCAGATACGATTTCCTTGACTCGTCTATCTTTTCGGGACGTGAGTCTGTCGACAGTGGATATCACGGGTGTCTGGCCGGGATGGACAGAGTTGCTTGTGAATTCTGATGTTGGTGCTGGTCTTCACGTGGCAGCTGATGCTGGGGCTGGACAGGATGTTCAGGCAGCAGATGCCGTTGCCGGCCCGGCAGGAGGTGTCGCAGAAGCAGCGAGTTTCGATTTGTTGGAAGAAGTAGTGGGTGGGGTGTCTAGGGGCCGTGGCAGAGGCCGGGGCAGAGGCAAGCAAACATCCTCGCAACTTCGCCAGAAATTGGTGGCCTCACTTCCTGTCGATCCACACTTGCAGGAACATGTGGAGGCTGATCTACAAGCACTACTTGCAGAAGAACAAATCATGTTGCCGGATCCTGCCGTCGGGAGAGATGCTGTTGGGGAAGGGCATGTGCATGTAGAGAATGCTGGCAACATGCTGGATGATCCTGTCTTGCTAGCCTCTCTGGATGCTGAGTTCAAAGAATCCATGCTGTCTGCAGCCGCTTGTTGCACAGAAGCTAACACAGGTCAGAGTGCGATTTTCGAAGAGTCCGGCGACGAAGCCATTATCGAAGAGTCTTGTGAAACTGTAGAGCAAGACATAGACCCACCGCCAGCCACTGGTGGATCTGCAGACGATGAAGGGGCTGAGCCGTTTGAGGACCCAGATGAACTTGTATCTTTTCCTACGGATAGCCTCCCTCGGGGTTCCAGAGATCCTGTGCCGCCTGTGCCCGTGCCTTGTTCGGACTTCAGATAGGCTGAACACTGGCTTGGTTTGCAGCTTGCGAACTAGATTGTTGCCGTGGGCTTCTCTGAGCTTCAAGAATCCGATCTTCGCGATGGTTTAAGGCTGAAGGCTAACAGGTTGAGTAGGTTTTGAGTTTCGAGATTGCCGTTTTCTAATGTAGAATCGGTTGCATGTTGAAGGTGATGTGCAGATGAATTCTATTATTGTCTTGATGGTCCGTTGATGGTGTTACCGACGAATTTGATAAGGTTCTAATTTCGATCTCCACTTATTTCACCGAGGTGGAATCCAGCTTGCTTTACGGATATAGTGTCGGTTTTGGATATGCATCCCGATGCGATAAGTAAGCTTTATATGATTGTTTATATGATTTATATGGCTATATGAAATTATATGTTATGAGTATGTATCAATAATTATGATTTACATGAGTTATAGGATTTGTAATTGTTGTGGCTAAGCCACAGTCATAGTCGTACGGCTGGTTCGTTCGATCCTACTCATGAAACTCACGGGTGTCATGTCTATGTCGGAACATCATGAATATTTATCTGTTCCGTCATCAGTCTGGGTACTTCGCGAGCATCGGGAACATAAACTTGCATGAGCAATGATATGGAGATAGGATCGTATATAGTCTGTTTAGTGAGCTTATGCATTACACATGTCACATGTTGCTGTGTGTTTCGTATGACGTTGCACACAGCAGATACACAACGACACACAGAAATCATCATATACACATCGCATACCCTCATCAGGTCCGTGCCACTGCTTCTTCGTCGAGCTGTGGCACTTCGATAGTCGAGACGGAACTGGGAAGGAACAGCTCCGGCAACACGATCAAGGTGCTGGAGTCCAAGCATGGTGCCACTCGGTACGAAGTGTGGGAGACTGATCGGAGAACTGGCAAAGTGCAGGTTTTGGGCAAGATATACATGCTAGCTTCGGGTGGACGTGCCAAATATAAAGCAGCTTGCAGAGTCCATCGGAACTGTACCTGTATTATCAGTTCTTTGGATGAAGCCATTGTGATAAACTGGCTATCCGTGGCTAGTGAAAAAACACTGCATGAGCATCAAGAGCTCAGCAAAGAGGCCCGGCGGTCACTGGGTATGAAAATTAGAGTGTAGATAGTTTCAGATGTGTGCCGAGGAAGACAGCTTCAATAAACCCAAGTCTTATGGCCCAAGCTATAAAGCCCGGAATAATCTTAGAACCTCATGGCCTTATGGTTTCTAGCATATTCCCCTCATCTCTTTTATATGTTATAACGTATATACGTATTTCTGTCTCCAGATAAAGGATGCAATGGCACACTGTTGGCCCGAGGTCACCGTTTCACACACCCGACGGGTGCCGGCAGCAACTCTCATGTCATAGTTTAAGTCATAGTGCTAGGGCTACAGTAAATAAATAGGACTGAATATCGGATTATAGTAAATTTGGGTGATGGTCCTAGTTCTGGTTGTACTTATCTCTTGGTTAGACATAGTGACATAGTTGAGGAAGACATACAGGTTATTTCGAAGCTATGTAGGATTTTTTTGAATTAAGATTCACTTGTGCCTGACATTTAGGCTGGCTGGCATTTGTAATGCTGCCATGACTAGCCCTGGGTTATAGGCTATTAGGGTATAGGCTATAGGCTATAGATAAGCCCTTGAGACTCACACAAACCTGCTGCCCTACAGCCGAGAAGACCTAGACAACGAGGCCTCATCAACATCGAAGCCCCTCAAAGCCCAATATCCGGAAATCACTTCATTACACTTATTGGCTGTCCCAAATTCCCAAACCAAAAAAAGAATTCAAAGCTCCGAAGCTCACTTAATCTTCGTGGTCCCATGGTCATTTAGGACTACTAGTACGACGACGACCCCTACCAGGAGTGCCAATAGTACTACTGCTAGTACTACTACTACCACCACTACTACTATTACTACTACTACTACTACTACTACTACTACTACTACTACGGAGACGAAACTACTCCTACTACTACTTGTGCTACTGCTACTGCTGCTACTACTACTACTACTACTGCTGCTGCTGCTGCTGATGCTACTACTACTACTACTACTACTACTACTACTCCCGCCAAAACGATTACTAGTACTACTCCTGCTGCTGCCGCTGCTACATTCTGCTGCTGCTCCTGTTCTGACTACTACTACTACTACTACTACTACTACTACTACTACAAATACTACTACTACCACTACTACTGCTACTACTACTACTATTACAACAACTACTACTACTACTACTACTACTACTCCACAGCCACCACCACGGCCACCACCGCCACTAGCACGGCCACCAGCACCACCGCAAAACACAACTACCGCTATCACTACCACGACCACCGCCACCGCCCCCACCGCCGCCACAATCACTGGCATCACTGCTACCCATTATCGTCGCAGTCGTTGTCATTGTGGTGACATTAGCCGTCGCTAGCCCTGCGAAGCTTTGGGACTTGGGTGTGGGTTGAGACTATGGTATAATTTTAATTTTTAATATAGGATACAAGAGTCTACGAGGCAACTGCCAATATCGGGCAATAGCTGTGCCGTGCCGTGTGCAGTACGAAGTAGGAGTCGGAGTGGCAGTGTGGGTCGGAACAGGAAGTATGAAACAGATACAGTATTAATTACTAATTCATGTTGTACTAGTATGAGCAGTATAAGTACTAGTGTTAGTCTAGTCTACAAGAATGCTAGTATTGGCAGCAGTCGTGGTTCTTGTTGTGGTGAGTGGGCTTAGGGTTTGGGGTTTAGGAATTACAATAGTTATAGTCATAGTTATAGTCATAGTTATATTATATTGTGAGGTGCCTTTTGGATTTGAATATAGATAATTGATAACTGATGATGATATGATATTAATATAATTGATATAATTGATATAATGATATAATGTAGCGGAGTCTTTCAAGACCATAAGCCGGCTTGTCGGACAAGTGCATGTCGTAGGGGCGAGGAAGCTTCGACGTGGGGCGGAATGCCGAAGTCAGGACGACAAACGTGTCTGTTGAGCGGCAGCGACATGATTTCAGGAAGCTTCGGGTCTAGGTAATCATAATTATAGTCAAAGTAATTACTTTCGAATAAAGACTCTTCTCGAGCTTTCCCAACTTGCCGTAGTTATATGCCAAACTCCTTCTATGTAGAATGTAGTCTATGGTTGGTTTGTTTTATGGTTCGAGGGCTAATGATACTCAGGATGTTTTCATATGGCTGCTTCTAATGCAGCTCCAAATCTAGAGGTCTGTCCAAACCTCTCCGATGCCCAGCTGCCAAAATATAAAGCTTTGTCATGTAACTGTAGAGTCCATCTATAATGTGGAGTGCTCGCATATCCTTCGCACACCCCCCCCCCACACACAGACACACAGAACCCGCCCACCTAGAAGCTAGGAAAAAGCCTTCGCCACACCCCTACTTAATCCCACACCAGCCGAATTATTATTGGATGGAAACATACGAGTCCACAAGGCCAGGATAAGTGTTCATTTTCCCACTAAAATAAGTGTTCCCCGGGCCAGGATAAGTGGTCTCTTTCCCACCAAAATAAGTGTTCCCC